CCCCGGACGGGGGAGGCCGTTATCGGGGCCTCCCTCCCCAGCGCCTGCTGCCCCCCTCTGCCCAGGGCTGCCGCTTCGTGCCCTTGCGAAAGCGGAACAACGGAAAGCGGTGACGATCGCCCGCGGGGCTCCGTCCCCTCTCCTTTGTTGTTGCAGCGCTGCAGATCGCTGCTGTGGCCGAGACCATTCCCTTATGGTCAGAAGGGAAAAAAAAAATAGCTGTTAGTTTCGTTATTTCCCCGTTGGATACACGCTGAGTTCCCTCCTTGTTTTTTTTTTCCTCTGTATGCTCAGCAAAGGCTTTTTTTTTTTTTTTTCTACAGTGGTGTTCACAGAAAACTTCACCGTTGTAATCTACTTTATTTACAGATAGCAAAATCCACGTGAAGAACTGTGTTTGCTGCAAAACTATCACCGTATAGTTTTGGCAATTCCGCATACCGATTTACAAAGCCTGAAATAATTACGGTGTGTTTGCCAGCAAGCCTACGACGTCATTTGTGTAGCAGCTGGGTTATTTCTGATATAGCGCTTGTGATACTTGCAGACAACACGGAGACAATGGTGGCGGGGGGGGAGGGTTTAAATAGAGGGGTGATGATTATCTAAGAGAGAAAGGATAGTATGGCTTCATGGGGAGTACTTGCATGTAAAACTGAACAAACCCACCTGTCTAATTAAAAGCAGTGACATTGCAATGCATTTGAGGTGTTGACTGTATTAAATTGGGTTCTGTTGGGGAATGTACTCAAACTCACAGGTTTTCAAGCGTCATTTGTGTGTCGCAGCTTTGGAAAAGGCAGCAGTGAGTGTGAGCCAGGATGTTAAGGAGTGTTATCTGTAGCTACGTTGCCTTTCACGTTGCCTTTCACTTAGTGCTGGCAGTGCCTCTGTGCTGTACCCAGCTGCAGAAAAAATGTAGCACATGAATAATTGATGAGGAACAAAGTGCTACTTACATAGGCAAAATGCCTTTTGGTCCATCCTTTTCCAACCCGATTCAGTAACAGTTTTTCTCGACAGTCCTCTCGCTGTCTCCACTCCTTAGGCTTGTCACCCAGCTCATCTTCCTTACCCCCCCCATTAGCCACCGTCTCCTTGTCTGGGCCCATGAAGTCCAGGTTTTCACTTCTTCAAAGGCAGGCAATGAGATAAATTTTAGTAACTCAAATGTCATCTTTCTTTAAGGAGTGCTAACTTCAGTGATAGGCGTAAGTCTGCCACGTATAAAACTAAGAATCAGCTGAAGCACTGTATAAGGAGCACAACAGATCTCTAGCTGTAGTCAAACCCGTTGTGGAACAGGAAAGTACAGGTGACAGCAGGGACAGTTTTAGTATCTGAACATCTTGTAAGGGAGGAGCCAAGTACAATATTTGCATTCAAGACCTACCTGCTGCTGAAAAATTTAATTCCGTTTATTTTGTTAGTGTTCTGTGCATTGAAATTACCTGTGAAATAGAGGAGAGCTAACTCCATCAGAAGTGTGACTCACCGGCACAGCAGCATGTATTTTGTACCTCTTTTTATCAGTTTAATTCAGTTTGTCCCAATCTTCTGAAACGTTCTGGAACTACTCATAAAGCAAGGTAGAACTCACGAGGCTGTATGCCAAAGGAAAAGGGAGTTGTAGTGCTCCTTTTTTCATGGAAGGTATTGTGGTGTATGAATATGCCTGTAAAGCATGTTAAAATGCACAAAAAGATCCATTCCTTCTCTGTGGAGGTGTCTGTTTTCATTGGGCTTTAGCTATTGTAAGCTTTATCAAGTGGGAGTAAGGAGGGCATAGCTAATGTATTCTTTCTTTTCAATTCCTCCTTACAGCTCAAGGTACTGCCCTCCTTTGGCTTTCTTTTTTCAAAAGCTAGTTAATTCTCGGGGACAATTCTTGGTGCCTGTAGTATTTGTGACCAATGCAGGGAATTGCCTTCGCCAGAAAAAAGCTGATCAGTTGTCTCACCTACTGGGAGTTCCAGTGAGTAGCTTAAATCCTGTTTATTTAGTTAGTTACATATGGGGAATGTGTCAAATGTATTCTTTTCCATTAAATGCTGCTCAATTAATCAGTTTTGTTTTTCCCTAAAGCCCCCAGAAATGCTTTGCTGGAGGTGTTATAAAAGTAAAAAATGCTGTTCAAAGCTAATGGTATCTCCACTGGTAAAGGTGCTGATTTTTCCTAATGGTAAAGCTAATGGTATTTCTTTGAAACATTATTATTGTGGGAATAAATTTCGCCTCCTCCTTCTTAATAAAAAAAATGTGTGTGCCAGTAACGTGAAACTCTGCTTTAGCACGCTGAGTGTCTTCTGTGACAATGTGCAAGACGGGAGCCTCCTGCCTCTTTTTGATACAAGTGATAAAACTTTATTGCTCCCTGAATTGTGGGCGCTGCAGGCAATAGGACTTCTCCATTGCTGGGAGACTCTGTTTGAGCATTTGGCAGTTCTGATTCTTCTTTCCTGCTTGTTTTTTAAATTAATTTGGTGATCCTGTAAAACTAGGAGGGAAAACCTTGTGCTCATGCTGAATAGAGTAATCCCGGAAGCTGAAAGGGCTGTGTATGACAATTTGTCAGTAATGTGGTTTTTTTCTGGTATATTATCAGTACGTCATCTGTGAAACTTAGGAGAAAATGGTATGGTAGGGTTTTAGGTAGATATGTATGATTGTTTTGTAATTCATAGAATTTGTCACGCCTATTAATTAAATCTACATATAAATAATGTATCTGAAAAACAACAGACTCCTTTTGTTTTTAAATCCCAAACAGATTTCACAAGATCAAGTGATGATGTCACACAGTCCTCTACGAATGTTCAAACGTTATCATGAAAAATGTGTCCTTGTGTCTGGACAGGGACCACTTCTTGATATTGCTCAAGAGTATCTTTTAAAAAAAACCCAACAACTTTCTGTTTAAGTACTTTCCTTAATTAAGGTCAGAGAATCCTGCAGATCAAGTGAAGACCAGATATTTCAACACTACAAATCCAGTAATAAGCAATGGTAGATCTTACTGTGATGTCAAACTTACGTTTTGAAAGTGGTTGGTGTGTTGAGATTTGCTGCACTTTGTTCTATCTGTTTTTAATGAGGAAGGAAAAAAGAAAAAGAATTCTTGTTTCAACTCTTATGTAAATGACACAGTAGCACAAAGGGCTCTTGAGAATGAGAGCCTGGCATTCTGTCTACTATTTATCACATCTGACTTTTAGCTTAGTAGCTAAAGATCCGCTTGTAAGCATGCAGCCAGGCCAGGTCACGTTGCTTTTGTAACTGCCACCTGGAGTAGAACTATACTTGAAAATATTTTGCTGCTTCTATACTAACTGCCAGGAAGAACTTGAATTATCTATTGATATAATGGTGGTATCAAAGCTTCAAACTGTAATTTAATTTATATTTCTGTTAGAAGGCATTTTCAGACTGGATAATAATATCTTAAAATAATTTTACAAATGGCCTGCAGTGTTAATTCCAATACAAAATCAGGTGGCTTAGTTTGTATAGCTGACATATTTAAATAGCTTTTATTTGCATTTGCATTGTAAGAAGTTGTATTAGTATTGAGAGTAGCATCACAACTGCTTTTTACATAAATGAGCAGGTTTAGTTTGATTATGTCTTGTTAACTAAGTTTGAATTAAAGGGATATATCAGCATTTAAGAGTACTACTGTGCAGATCAGTAGGGTTTTTTTTCCCCTTTTGGTCCTTTCCTTTTTTGATGTGTTTCAAGTATTTATCTTAACTACCTGTAGAGCATAATTAAACCTGATTGGCCAGTCCACCATTTTGCAAGAGACTGGCAGCTGTAATGGCCTAAGGAAAGCACAGTTTGTGGAGACAGTATTTTTTCCTCAGCTAGCTTGTATTTCTTTCCTATAATAATTATGCAAGATTGTCTTGCTGCCAGATAAACTTCCTGTGCTTATGTAAAAATTATCTTGGAGTATTGCAGATGTAGAGCAGCCTCTTGCTTTTCATCTCATATTTTGAGAAAGATTAACATATCATTTCTGTCTTAAGATTTCAGACACACAGGTCTCCCAATTATAAATAATGGGATGATCATCTTTTTATCTCACGGAAGAAGTCGTCAGTCTTTGATATGTTGCTTTCATTCCTAAATGATTTGCTTTACCAGATAAACTGCATATGTTAAAATTGTTAAAAAGTAATCACCAATTTTTAAAGTCTTTTAATATAAGCAATTCTGTATCCTTAACTGGTGTTTTCCCAGCCTCGGTTTCTGTCAGCCTATTACCATTGAAACATTGAGGGAGAAACACCCTTTGCTAGATGTAGTTGACCATGACAGAAGACCTAACGTTCTGGTGAGTGAATATTTTTGATTTAAAATCCTTTGCTCATTAGATGACATTCCGTAGTAGGGGTCAATATTTAAACTTAAAGAGCTAATGCTGTTGTTCTTATGCTGTGTTTTGGCTTTGCTTTTCTGCTTCTTTATTTGTTTTATTACAGCATTTTCAAGAAAAACTTTACAGACTTTCATCGGTGGTAATTCCTTAATGTAATCTTTGATTTTGTAACTTACTGCTGTGGGAAAACTTACAATTTAGTACAGACACCTAATTCAAAATCTGCTTTGGAAAGCTGATTAGCTTCCTCAGAGGTGTGGTAGAGAAAATAAGCTTTTTCCTTCAGTATAGGTTTGTCTTGGTATTGCTTCTAAGCTGTGAGGTTGTTTTGATTGTAAATTAATGTTTTGCAGATAACTATTTTTTCTCTATAGGACTCCCTTTCTTGTTTATACTGTTATTTAAATATATTTAAATATTAACAGTGCGTACAGTATGGTTTTAACTGAATTGTGCAGAATTTCAAAAAGAAGTGAATACATACCCAGTAAATACATGCATGTATTGTACATATTCAGGGTCAGCATAGAGTGGATTTTTCCCATGTGAAATCAAGAAATTCTTTGTGGTTCATAGAATCTGTAACTGGGTTATATCACCTTTTGTCTTGCTTCTCAATCATGTGGATGTAGAAGTTCAAGAAACTGTTATAGTATTTGTCACCATGGGGAGTAAATCATGAAGTGCAAACTCTTATTTGTTTAGCAAACATATTGTGTGTTATCCAATGTATTTTGCTTTCTTAGCAGTGTTAAAGAAATACACTTCCAAAACTGTTACTCAAATGTCTTGTTGATACTAGAGGCCTCTTCTTTCTGTGGAAAAATAAACATCCGTGCTTTTGTACACAAGTAAATTAAACAACTGAAGCTTTATAGCTTGCCAGAGGAGGTTAAAGATATTAAGGAGGCTAGTGAGTGTAGAACACACTAACTTGCTTGCTGTCTGTTTGCCACAAGATTTCACTTCAGAATTGAAATACAAGTTTCTAAGCAAACTGATGTCAGGTATATACCAAAACAGAGAGGGCGTTTCCTGTCTGTGTTGCAGAAGGCAACTGTAGGAGCTGTACTTGAATTTATTCTGTTAAAAATAGTAATAGATGTTTAATCTTGTAGAAAACTTTTACTTTTTTCTTATTGCAGTACCCCTCTGCTGTGGAGCTTCCCAAGATTGAGGGTCAGTTGTCTTTATTTGACTTGCAACTATGCATTAATAGATAAAATATCTTTACTGTACTTTAGAATTTATTTTTAGATTGCTGGGCACTTCAGAAAGTTGGCTGAGACAATTCTAAAATTTTCTTGTTAATGACCCCTGTCATTATTTGGAATGTATCACGTCTGATAATGCTGGTTTTTTAAATGTGTGCGGTTTTCAGCCATGTGGTTTTGAAGTTTCAGAAGGTAGGTGAGGTCCACTTTCCTCTTCGTCTTCCTTTAACAGATTCCTTTCAAAAATGAGGAATGAATTGACATGTGTTCAGAAATATTCAGTCTTGTTAGTAGCATAGTCAGGATAGTCACTTCAGAATTGTAGGAGGAGAAGCATTTTGTTTCAGCATACCATATTCACCCTTGTCTCATCTGAAGTATAGGAAAGTAGAAACTTGGGACATCAGGATTTAAAAAATACCCACTTCAGATTATTGCTGGAGACCAGAAAAATGCCTGAATACAACATTCAAATTTTGGTTTAAGATGTACAAATTAACATCTCTGATGGATTATTTAAATACTGTACGTAAACATAGAATTCACAAAGGTATGGAAGACTTAGAAATACAACTTAGAAGTTAATATTTTATGGTGTTATGGAGAAACTCAGCCGATAAAATTTCTTAAACCTGTGGATTTTGCAGTGGGGTCTTGTTACTTTTTCTGTGACTGAATGGGCATGTAATATATTAAAACCCTAAGTTAATGTGACTGTTGCATTAGTTCACGGTTAAATCAAATTACCTGTTCAGTCTCTTTAGACCAAATTTTAGTGTCAGAGATTTGGTGCCCTGTTAACTAATCCCATAACTCTGTTTTGTAATTCTTGTTCTCATAGCTGTTGTTTTGTTTGGGGAGCCAGTCAGATGGGAGACCAACCTCCAGTTGATAATAGATGTTTTGCTGACAAGTGGCTATCCTGGAAATCCGTATCACCATGAAAACTACCCTCACATTCCTGTCCTTGCTTGTAACATGGATCTGATGTGGGTAGCTGAAGCACAGTCTCCAAGGTGAGTGCAACGACAGCGTGTGTGTATAGCATGGTATACACGGGGTTTCCTCATTTCTGCAGTAAAATTCAGAGTCAATACTTTTATAACAGAATGCTTGCTGTAGCTTCACAGTAGGTCTCAACTTTGAATACGACATCTCTAAAGCAATGCACTTTCAGCAAACGCTGCCTTATTACTGTCTACGTTATTGCATTTGGGAAATCAGTTACTCAAAAAAACCCTGCTTTTAAGCCCTAAACCTTTTTGTTTCCCCACTCCCAGAAAGATGGGGTTTTGCCCAAGGGTCTCAGAGTCTCAGTTCAAAGGAAAAGTGAAAAAATTAATCAAGGCCATTGTCTCATTTCATTAGGTTCTTCTTAGGTATTTCTCTTTTCCACCCTACAGTTTCTGATAGGGTAAAAATTTACCCTGCTAGTTAAAAGCAGTGAGTGTTTTTGGGCTGAGGACAATGTAGTAAGCACTTTAAGGAATGTAAGAAAAAACAAGGAGAACACACAGCACAAGGTGGCATGATCTCTGATAGTGGTTTTGTTTGATTTTGTTTTCTGTAGAAGGTGGTTCTTCAATAGTTTTGTTTCCCCTCCCTTTTCCCCCAGTTTGAACATGCACTGAAATGGAAACCATTGTTATTGTGACTGGATCACCGCCTTGGTCTTGGATCGAAGACCTTGTCAGACATCCTTATTTGGATGCAAAGACTAAGGCCAAATACATCGGTGTGATAGTTTCGGGCTAGAGTAAGGCAACCAATATATCTACAGTAGATAAGATAAAGTATTTTGTTGTGTCCTTTGGGAAAGATCCAGTATAAAGTTTGGTTTTTTTCCTTTGAGTTTGACAAGTTTGCATCTGTCAGTGCTGTTACTTTCCCTATTGGAATACAATGCCATTACTAAGTTGTTTTAAGCTGTTGCTAATAATTACTGGAAATAATTCTATGCTTATTTAGTGGTATTTTGTAATGCAAAGCACCGAACAGGGTGGAGAGAGGGAACGAAGGATTAACTCAATTCAGGAAAGCTAATTCTGTACCATATTTAAAAGCACTACAGCTGCTGCCTTCTTTGTAGCATTTTTCCTTAAAAGACTATTTTGATATCTAGGCCACTAGAGATTTAATTTCTTTATTAGTGCACCTCATATACCTCTGCTGGCTTCTGAAGCTCATTACATTGGTGTTTTGGGTTTTTTAGGTTGTAGATGCCTGGTTTGAGCAGCTATACTAATCTATGCGCATTAGAAGTTACCTAGCAGCTTTTCTTAAGAACTATGTGTTATTTATTGTGTACAGAATTGTTGTATAGCAACCTCTTATTCTTCTTTTCATGTTTTTGATAATTCCATATTTCTCAAGTGGTATGTATTAGTTCATCCCTAATATCACACCCTGACTTCAGTAGTGAAGTAAAACTGTTCTTTTCATCATGAGATTACATCTTCTAAATGGTTGATTTACTGGCTTGGTTGATGACCCATCATCACTGTTTCCACCTTGATCAAAATAACTGAGTGAATTATCAAAAGCATGCTATAAAATTAGAGTTCGTTCCTTCATCCTCCTTTGCATCTATATTTTTAGAGAAACCTATGAAGTTTTTTTCTTTCCATATTAAAAGTGGGTTCTGGTATACTTGTGTTTAAGGAGAGAACAATTTTCCTTCTGTCTGATTCTAACTTTCCTTTTCCGTTTCTCCTCTTTGTCAGTTTAGCCGATTCTGTTAGGTCACTCCAGAGGCTAAGCATTATTTCAAGAAGCATCACTTTTGTGACTAGGGCATCTACTTAAATGGAAGTAACACTAACGGAAACCATTGCTACATTTTAAAAATAGTCTGTTGTGCTCTCCCAGTAATGTGTTTTTATTGCGGTGTTAATTGCACAGCTAATCAGCACTTAATTTTCAGTGAAGCAGCTGTGGAAATGTTGCATATAAATGGAAGGAAATTTTATAATTGCAGGGTATGATTTAGTCCTAAAAGGTCATGGAATAAAGAAAGCCTTGTGTTTTTTAATCTGTACTTAATATAATTTGATTTGTCTTCGTGTAGGTTTGGGCACGGAACTTTTATGGTTTGTTTGGAAAACATTTACAAGAAGATCACTGGCAAAGACCTGAAATACGAGGCATTAGTGGGCAAACCTAGTAAACTGACCTACCAGTACGCGGAATACCTCATCAGGGCTCAGGCAGCAGAAAGGCAGTGGAAGCAACCTATTCAAACTCTTTATGCTGTCGGGTAGGATATCATAAGTCTAACAAGTTCATCAGGAAATTACTCACAACATGCATACCAGCAGTGAAAAATACCCACCTCTTACTACTTTGCTTCTCATACCATTGGGGCCACTGTAAAAGCACAAAAAGTGGTTTATCTGCAACTAACATTTCTCCTGATTTTCTATAATAGGCTGTGTAAATCTTAACAAAAATAATTTGCATGGGTGTTTTGTTAGGTTTACTGCTGTAACACTGATAAGCTTTGAGTAAATGATGGTTATTAGTGAGTGTAGAGCTTGAATTTATTTGTGAGGTCATTAAGCTCAGTCATATGCTACTGTGCGTGCTGTCACATCATAGAATCCTTTTCATAGAAAGAGATAAAGCTGTATTGTATTAAAGACTGTTCCAGAATCTCCAAGATGTTTGGAAAGCTCATTCATGAGCTGCTAATACCTATCCTTGATTTCCCCTCCCCCTGCCCAGTCTGCAATTTCAATACAGACTTACTCACTTTTATCATGTCTTGCTTAATGACAAAGGTATAATAAAATAGTGATAGGATTGGACTTCTTCCTATCTGCATACTTCCACATGTAGTTATGTAAAATATAAAATAAATGGTTACATCAAAGCCGTAAAAATTTCTTTCATACAGTTGAAATTTGACAACTAAAATTGCACAGCTGACTAAACTTTTGTCTTCTATTTCCAGAGATAATCTCATGACTGATGTCTATGGTGCTAACCTTTACAATCGCTATCTTGAAGAGAACTCCAAAAAAGGTTCAAAATCCCGGATTCAGGCCCAGGTTGCTGGTGGCAGAGGATCTGCTGCTCTCTCTCAGGATGATGAAATAGGCAACAGCTGGGAGACTGAATTAGCACCTGCAGCTGCTGCCCACTGCAGATCTGTCCTTGTTTGTACTGGGGTTTACAACCCTCACACAGAGGTACCCTTGGATACCAGGGAGAGCATAACTGAAACGGTGTTCCATGGCCACAGAGATTTTAGGTTTGACCCTGATTTAGTAGAACCAGATCATATTGTACCAGATGTTGATGCTGCTGTAGACCTGGTCTTCCAGCTGGAGAGCTTTGCACCTAATGGAGATGACATGATTTCTTAAGTGCTATGCTTTTCTTCCCCAAAAACAAACCGTGCTTTAAAACTGCCACAAACTGCTGCTTTCTAAAATTTTTAACTTTTAAATTGATACAATTTTATATAAGTCTATCAAATATCAGTAGTGCTTTTTTAAGTACTTTGAAATACATAATTTCCTGCTTTAGTTGCCCTTTATTGTCTTCCTGTTCATTATGTTAGGTATTTTAACAGCAATTTTTCCTAGGAGCTTATGCACATTACTGGTACTTAAATTCCCACGTCAGGACATTCTTTTGTTTGCTGGAAGATTTAGCTTCTAGGTATTGGGGATCTTGAGGATATCGGATTGTGGTGCTGGGATCATCCATACAGTTACAAATTGCCTGGCACAGAGCACAATGTGTATTGGTGCTTGGTATCCTGCAAGTGATGCGGGCTCCTTCCAATCAAAGCCAAGCGCAAGCCTGTTCTGCTGCTTCGTACTTGCTCGGGTATAACCCTGCAGCCGTTCTTTTTATCTGTTTTCCCATGTGTCTGGAGCTCCTAGTGCTCCTCTGTGCTCTGACACGTGAAGCCTTAATAGAAATGCCCCTGTAGGATGGGGAAGACTGACTTGTTCACACCCGTTTTGGAACTTCAACTAAGCCAAACAGAGTCATGTAAGGAAAGAGGCTAACGTTGTGTGGCATAATACCTGGCCTGTTGTGACGGTGTGCTCCCCCCTCGTCTCTGACCCCCCCCTCCTTTGACCTCTTTCAAGTGATGACCACCTGTGGCCCTGGTGATAGATGCATCTGATAGATGTGTCTGGTCCTGAAGGATGCACCCACTGGGTGTGGGGGGAGACAGATAACAATACAATAGCCAAGGGCTATTGTGGAATATGCCCGCCTAAGCACAGTGGTCAGTATGCAAATATGACTATGAGCCAATCATCTTACCCCCATAAATAGTGAGCAGTCCAAGAGCCCTTTGAGCTCTCCTGCACGGCAGCGGGCTGCATGCCAGGATCTCCCCTTGAGCAGGGACGCCTCTCAAGGTTACTCCTCAAGGTTGAGAGATTCCTTACCACAACAGATTCTCAGTAAGTGACTAACAGCATGCTAACTTGGAGATCTTAGCTAAGTGACATAAAGGATTAATTGCGCATATATAATCCTTTAGGCATAAACCGTTGACCAAGTCTGGGACTAGGATTGGATCTAGCCACACCTAGACTCCTCTCTGAGGGAGTTTAGAAAGCAAGGGGATCTTTTCTGAACCTCATGACTCAATGGGAGGGTCTCCCTGACAGTTTTGTCTGACCCTGTCCTCTGTGCAGTAAATAACAAAGTGTACCTTGCCATCGAATCTCATAAACTATTGTCGCATTTACCACTGACCTTTGTTAACTCATTGTTTTACACCAATAAACCACATTATTTTTGCCTCCCTCTCACTCCATCTGCGACACCTGTTTGTCTTTGCCTTTTTATCTGCACTTTTTTTGAAGAATTTAGAATCTTAGAAAGCTTTAGCAGTTATGTTTCAGGCGTTTCTGTCAGTTGGACTTTTCCACTGAATGAGTGACTACTGTTTGGGCAAAAAGTGCCTAGTAATTTACTTGAACCTTCATACCACTGTGGTAATTAACCTGCCTTTGCTGTAAGATATTTCATCTTGTGTCAATGTTATGTCTTGTTTGGCTCATAGCTGTTCATCTAAAAAAATATTATGTTATTTTTGTAAAGTAATTTTCAATGTTTTCATCCAAAAGATGTCTTTGAAAATATTTTTGTGTTAATTTGTTGTAACACGGTGTATGATGTACTTGTGCCATAAGCTTGGAAAGCATAAGCCAATTAAGTGTGTTTAAAAACAAAGTCAACTTACACACAAATATCTCTTAACATCACCTTGGGGGTTGGTCAGGTTTTTATGGTTGGGTGTTTGGGTTTGTGGTTTTTTTCAAATTAGAAATTGTACAAACAAAAATCTGTGGGTCTTCAGTTTTCCCAAGCTCCTGCAGAACTAGCAGAACGCTAGCTTAAAAGCATTGCTACACAGATGGTGGCATAAAGTGAAATGATTTCCTGGCCAACTTCTTCACTGCTTATCATCCTGAAATCAAAATCTGAAAACTCACGCAGTGAAGAGAACATTGCTGCTACAAAGTTTGTTGTGTTTTCTGCATTTGCAAAGCACTGTAATCCCCTTCTCTACCATCAGGAGTCACGCACTCATAATATTTCATGAGTAGCTTTTGACATACCTTGCTGGAGCCAGTTTAAGGACACTGCTCCAAACGGTGCATTTCCTGTTTCGTCACTGGGAAAGTGTTACAGCAGCAAATTCTCGCCTTTTTTAGTTGGTACAATACACAGATATTTACTTATTTCTTTAGTACTTTTCTGTAATACGCCAGTTATTTGCCAAGTATGCCAAATCTTTCTAAGTAAAGATTGTAGTTTTGTACAATGCCAGGGTGACTGAAGTTGCATTGTGTCAATACTGAAGCACGTTGCAGAGCTCTTTAACTATTACCGGAAGTGGTTTCAGGCTGTCAATGAGGCAAGGAATAAAAATGTGAAAGTTGATGATGAACAGAAAATGCTCAATTTGTTTCTTCATTTTTTTTTTCCTCCAGAATATGCATGAACACTTGGATAGGTTAATGAAGCAATTATGTATATACTTTTTAAACTTCATCCCTCATGGAAACGTTAACTTAGAATGCATATGTAGAAAAAATACTGTTTGGCTGCTAATCAGGCTGCTACTGTTTTTTAACTGAAAAGAAGACAGGTTTTTAGTCTGTATCCCTCTTGGACCATGTTGGCCATGCCTGCATTGCAGGGGTGTGGATATTGCCCGATGACTCTGCTTGAGCTCTTTTTAATGCAATTCTTTGTACAAATCTATGACTGAGTCCCGACAGTGGACGAGGGTGCCACTAGATTTGGAGCAGTATCGGCACAAAACAACAAGTAGGCAGTTGTTGCCACGGATGGTGGTCAAAGATGATGAATACATATGGGTATTACCATAAAACACAAAAGAGAAATGTTAGCACAGTAGACACTTGTCATGGTATACCAGTGAGCTAGGTGAATATTTTGGTGATGTATCGTGAAAAACAGGTTTTTAAGGAAGAATTTGAAGGAGTATAGTGAGTCATCTCCAGTTACCTGGAGCTCTTGCCAAAGGTGAAGGACCTCAGAGCATCCGCTCCCACAACTTCATTGCAGTGCTAAGCTGGGTACATTGGAATTAGACTGCGTATTCCCCAGTTAGTACTGCAACAACACAGCACAGGCCTAGCTCTAGAGCCTGAAAGCCAACTGCTTCCTCAGTGCCGTCTTCTGATGTTGATGTGCACTGAGCACTTGTGCTGCAGTTAGAATTTTGAAATATTCCTGGTGTTGATGGTATAGCAAACTCCTTGCCAGAGGTCCTTACGCTTTGCAAAATGAGGAGAAAAGCACATGCGTTCCTCCCTCAGGGAGTCCCAGTCCAGTTTATGCTTTTACGTAAATACCTGGTGAAAATATTTGTGCCAAGATGTTAGTATGTGACTCGGGAAAACCTTCCATTCCACCTGCTTTCTGAATTCACACTGAATTCCAGCAAAAGACTTGTCATCTTTATCTTTATTAATGTGGCCCCTCAAAAAGCACACATTGTTAATTCTGTTATTAATTAATGTCTTACCAATCAAGATGCTACACCGACAGACTTCTAAGTCTTTGGATTTTGGGCCTCCTGTTCACTCAGTAAGTGGTACAAGATGAGACTTTTTTTGAAAAGAAGCGTCACAAAACATTGCATCAGAGCTACAATGGTAATTGCTACCATTTCCTGCTGTAGTACTTTAAAGTGAAATGGACTCTTCATTAGCAAGAAGCTAATATGTGGAAATCCTTAGAAGAAATCTCAATCTCTAGTACTGGAAAGGTGCTTTTATCAGAGTTCTTAAGGAAAACTGAGTTTAGTAAAACAATCTTTGTCATTATTCAGCTAAGAGTGAGATAAATGAATATGACACTAGATAAGAAAAATACTTAAGACCCTGTCTTAACTTCTGCTTTCCTTTCCTTGAATGTCCTCTTACCTGGATTTTCACTTTCTCTAACATATTTTCAGCTTTGACATTTCCCTCTTTGAAATAGACTCTATTTCCCATGTGTTGCCTTCAGTCTATTGCAGTCATAACATAGGTCAGCTGTTGGATGTTACAGTACTACTTTCCAGTTTAAAACGTACTGTTCAAACACCTAGGTGACCACGATGTGCAGAAATACATTGCTGAAATCACTTTTAAAAAATATTTCTGAGGATCTTGCTGACATTTCTTCTACATAGAACTTGCCCTTTGTTTGTGTAGTAGTGTTTTTATTCTTGATACCTTTTGTTCTATTTAAAAAAACACCTCAAAAAACAACCTTTCAAAAATATATCCTCTACTTCTTTTTGCTAATACAATATTGACAGTATTTTAAACTCCAGTCATGTATTGTCTTCCATATCACATGTTTTTCTTTAGAAGCATTTTTCAATTAAAGTTAGAGGAATGTATGAGACATATTTTAAGAAAAACACATTTACAGATGTGTCCTCTTCAACAGAAAAAAAAGCCTTGCATTTAAAATTGAATTTATCATGTCAAAACTTGAATACTTTTAAGTGTAATGAAAGGAATAATTATTTTGCGGTAGATACTACCTTTATGAAATCAGTCTACTACACCTACTGATACTAGTTATGGAATAATCTTTTCAAATTGCAGATTTTTTTAGTAGAAGATCATATCCAGGAAGCTTGTCTTAAAGATGTGAGTAATTCACAATAATCTGTTGCAGTGTTTTGTAGTAGCTTACTTCTTTCCATAAACTGCTCAATAATTTTTTTTCCTGGAACAGCCCTCCTTATGTTGCTATGTCTTATGTTCGTCAGCAACCTGAATGTGATGATATGCTGTGATATGGTGTAATCAAATCATACCTAGAAAAATTAAAAGTATTTCAGCAGTAGTAGGAGATGAAGTGCAGCCTCTGCAATGCAGTGGGATTGGCAGGCAACTATTGGTAAGAACATTGAAAAAGGTCCTCTAAAATGAATGTTTTCACTAAGCTTGAAAGATTCTCACTGGCTGACAGTGTAGTATTTAAA